TGTTCATGTTGCTGCAGTCTGCAGTCTGACCGCTAGATGTTGCTAAAAGTTACACACTGTAGCTTTAAAGTCTAAACCTAGGCATCATCTGACCACACTGCAAATAAGTAAACATTTCTAAATTTAAGTGTATTTACCCTTAATTTGTGCAGGTTAATAAGATGATCTGTCAATGGGATACATACTTTTTACTCTTAAAATAAGATCATTAGATAATATGCACTTGAAATAAGACGAGGCAATAGTTGTTTTTCTTATTTTAAAGGGAAATTTTCTTGTTCCATTGGTAAAGTGTCACACCTGCCTCCTCAATTCAAGAAAAAAATTCACTTATTTTAAGAAAAAAACAACTTAATTTAGATTTTAGTTTGCTTTGAGTTTGAGATGGAGTGGACGTCTGCAGAATTAATTGTGATGGTTGGAAAGAAGGGACTCATTTTCCTGGCTTATTAATCATTTTGATTCTGATCCGCTCATGTTGGTCAGATCAGATGTATTTAAGTTTTTCCCCAAACCGCTGGTCAGTGACTAAAGGAAGGAAGCTTATGTTCTGTCATATTTATAACCATTAAAAAAATAGATTGTCATGGATCAATAGTTAAAAAGCTGATTAATTAAAAGAAAATAACAGCTTCTTTTATTTTAAAGGGCTTAAGGATGGTATCAGTAATTGCAACATTAGAAAATCAATTTTCAACCTAAAAACTCCTCTAACAAAAAGAAATTTACTGCCATGAAAGTTTAGATAATTTTTGTGTGATTGTACTTCTGTAATATCAAATCAGTGTAATATAGGGTATTTTATATCTGTTTTTATTTAACCTTATTTTAGTGAACTTGTATTTATTGTATAGTTAAGTGAGGTAGATTAATTCACATGCAATAGTTAAAATATTACCATGCCAGCGTTAAGGTGACCTTTGACTTCATTATTTCCAGATTATAGCATTTGATGAGCTGAAGACTGACTACAAGAACCCTATAGATCAATGTAACACTTTAAATCCGGTGAGTGTTTCTACTGTTCCTCCTTTTCCTTTCCTGTCTAAATGACCGCATGCAGATATGCCCTGTTACCGATTTATTTTAGTCTACCTTTTATCCACCATTTCTCTGCACTGTTATGCTAAATAACCTGCCTGTTATTAATTGAGTGATCTTGTCAGCTGTGAAACTCTAATGCTTTTTTTTTTATATTTGTTTTTCCCAATCTGCTTCTTTTGCCCTATTTTTTTTTAATGGCTAAAAGACAATTGAAAAGGTCAAAAAGATTAAAAGAGTCAAAATTGCATTAAAGGTTTGTACCAATTTCTAAAATGCCCGCTGAGTTCAACTTAGTCTTGTCGTTTGCACGGTGAAGTGTTTGCTAAGGTCTTTTCAGTTAACTAACCCAAGTTGTTTTTTATGTTTTTAATATTATTGTTGAAATTTTTAAGCATTTCACTTTGATTTGAATGAATTCTAGAGTTATCATAACTTTTAATATTGCAGTTTTTTTTTATTGCCAGCTATAACTTTGATAATGTATTTATTAGAGTGCTTTGCTAAAGTATTCACACCCTCGAATATCACATCTTCTCTCCTTACAGTCTCAGCCCTGAGCTTAATTGTGAAATCATAGCTGTCAGTACTTTGTAGAACCACATGCTGCTGCTTTGCACATGAGGAGCCTTTTTTTGTTGTTTTTCATTAGTTTGTGTTTCAATGAAAAGCATTTTTTGTATCAATTTTTAAGGTCTTACCTTTATTTTCTTAAATATTTCAAATCTGTGCTGATTACATAGAATAAATCTTCTTAAAGACAGATTCTCACTCCTGAGCCGCAGAGCTTTGCAGCTCCTCCAGTTTTCATGAACTTTGTTTGATCGTCCAGGTGATGCTCGTCCTTCCCAGTCTGTTGGATTACGTTGCCGGACTCGTCTTGTTAGATGTGCAGTTATGGCAAACTCTGTTTACCTATTATTATTACTATTCCCCTACCCTTTAATCGGGACAATTACAAAATAAAATTACAAAAAAAGCCAACAACATAGAAATATACTTGTTGTTCATCTGTTGTTTTTTTTCCCTACTGGACTGATGGATATGTTAAAAGTTCTGAGGGTAATAGCACAACTGGATTTAGACTTAATTAATGAAAATAAGGGCATTATATTAATAAATTAAGTGAATTTGAACACAATTGGTTGTAGCGGGTATAATAAAAAAGATATATTGGAGCAAATTGGAGCTGAATACCTAAACTTTGCATGTTTAAAATTATTTAAAAAGTCAGAAATGATACATTTTATTGCAACAGATTTGGTCTATTTCAAAAAAATAAAATAAAAAATCCAAATAAAATCCACTGCTTTGTCTGAAGGGAGGAAATGTGACGATAAATGGGGAATGAATACTTCAGCAGGACATGGTTTCTGTCAAACGGATGATGTTTGTTAGCGATGCTACAGGATGAACGGCGGGCGTACGGATGGAAGAATCAGCCACTGAGGGTTACTGATGAGGCGTTGTTAACTGAAAAGACTTGCAAATGCTCAAAGCATGCATGATTCTCTACTCTGATCTACCCTTTGTTTGCTTATGGTTTTACTAGTAGTTCAGTGATCAGAAGTATCACAGCAGGATCTTTGGATCAATACTGTGAGTTTCAAATTCTGTACGGTTGTTTTTTTTTTTTAGATAATTTTTTTATATTTCCTATTTTTTATTTTTTGCACTTAAAGTCCCTGTTTGGCAGATCTAAGCTGCTGTGTATGAGCTTAGTGTTGGCTCTGACCTCCATCACCTGTGGCTCTGAACAGATGGCAGCAGAATCCCTCCACTCTACGGCTCAGCACTATTTAAAACCTCCCATTGGCTGGAAATGTTCACATTTCCATTGGAGGAGGAGTTGGATAAAAGCCAGGCTCGCTGATGTAGTGATATGTTCAGGTTTTGAGCCCGTTTGAAGCATTTCCTTTCTTAGTTGTCATATTTGGCAGTGCAGTGCAGGATTTCAGCTCATTACAGCCCCCCTTTCTCTCTGCACTCTCCCTTCTCCCCACACCTGTCCTCCTATAGATAGTCGTCTTGGCTCCACCCACTGTTTCCTTGTTGTTTTTTTTTCCAAATGCATGGCTTCCATGTGGTGCTCCCATCTGCCCCCTTAACCCGCCACGTGCCCTGACCTCAGCCACGCTGCTGCTGCATCAACGCTGCTCGCTCTCACCGCATGTTCTCCTGCAGTGCGTCGTCACTACATGGGATGATGTGCAGACATGTGGTCACTGCAGAAATATTAACGTTAAGATGCATCAGTGTCCTGTTAAGCAAGCTTTTTATTCGTTTTGGATAGACACAGGGATGCACAGTGTCAAAGAAGGGGGATAAAACTTTTAAAACAACTTACCGTAATGATTTTTTTTATGTTTTCTGCTGCTATGTAGTTGGCAGCTTTTCTGGCCAATAATTCTGAGTTTGTTTTCTTTCCCCAGATCATAAAGTAGAGTAGAATATGCAGCTGATAGATCTTGATATTTCTTCATTGTATGTATAATAATAATAATAATAATAATAATACATTACACCTCAGCTCGTTATTAGTGTCTCACTTTGTCATTTTTGGATTATTTCACTGCAGCTAAAAACAACCTCAGTTTTTCTTTATAAATGTGACATGTTCTCTGCAGGGAGCTGCAGCATCCCATCATATCCTCCTCTAAATGTTGTTTATTAGCTTCCTAGAAGCTTTTTTTCTGAACAGGAAGGTGAATCAGCTGCATTCTGATGTTTTACTTTCCCTCTCGTCTGTTTTCAGCTGGTGCTGCCAGAGTATCTCATCCATTTCTTCTTTTGTGTGATGTTTCTGTGCGCTGCTGAGTGGCTCACCCTCTTCCTCAACCTGCCGCTGCTGGCGTATCACGTCTGGAGGTGAGTGAACCCAACAAACGCTTGTCTTTTCCATAGATAGAAATAAAAGCCGGTGTTTTTAAAGGAACTGGTTTGTGTTGTGCTGTGCTGCAGGTATGTGAGCAGACCGGTGATGAGCTGCCCAGGCCTCTACGACCCAACCACCATCATGAATGCTGACATCCTAGCCTATTGTCAAAAAGAAGGCTGGTGCAAACTGGCTTTCTACCTGTTGTCATTCTTCTACTATCTCTATGGGTACAAAGATTTACTTTATCTTTTAGAAAATGCACAGAATCTTGCAGACCTTTTCTCCACTTTGTCACCGTACTGCAAAAATAGTACATTCATTATATCGTATGACGATGCAAAAATATATTTTAAAATAGATATTTGGTGCTCCAAGTCTGTGACAAAACATTTAAAGACTGATTTTGAATTATTACTTTTGCAATAATTATTTTAAATACTCATTTTAATGAATAGAATAATTTTGAGAATCGCTTCTATAGGAATAAATGATGAAAGAATTGCACATTTCATATACATTTAAATAATGGCAGTTTTCTTTACATTTTCATGTGTTTTTGCATTAAAAATTGGAGTAAATTAGGGCTGGGCGATATGGCCTATACATGTTTAATTTTTTTTATTTCTAATTATTAATGGTGGATGACGTTGTTTTTCCAGGTGGATCAGTAAAATAAGTGGTCCTCCTAATTGTCAATCGTTCTGGTGAAATGTTTACGTAAGGCAAATCTTCTTTTGGAAAGTAAGCTTGTATGAACGATGCAAACAACAAATTTTAAGCAGAGCGTGCACGAGCCCATTTCTCCGCCTGCTCTAAAATTTGCAATTTCTTTCTTACACGTTTGATAGGCGTTCCCTCTCTGGAGCGAGTACAGGGTTTTGCATGTGCTTTTTTTTTTTTCTTTTTACAGTTGAGTAAAATTTTTCTTTTCAAAAATTTGCAAAAAACTCCTCAGCTATACCTTTAAAGAAAGCAATAAGTAGAAACGGGGCACCATGTCAGTGGCTTTGCACAAAGTGTCCCTGCTTGACCGTTCGGACAGATGATCACTGCTTATTGGTTCCCGTTGGTCGCATAACTCCTCCTCCACCGTGCGGTGCCGCTGTGACAGCAAATCCCATAATGCTTTGCGAGGAGAGCTCTCCGTGCAGAGCATTCCAGTATATATCTGCCTCCTTTGAGGCCTTTCTTTTCTTCTCATACACTTCGTAGACACTTTCTCTTCCGACCTTCAGCCATTTTCAAAGGACCGCGGTGAGAAAGCTGAGCTTCAGTGACTGAAACCATAGCTCACCTCAGATATACGCCTGAAAGTGAGCATTTGCAGGAAAAGATAGCTAACGGGACGAGCACATCGGACGGCCTTATGTAGGCATATCACCAGAATGATTGACAATTAGGAGGACCACTGAGTGAGATGATCCACTCAGAAAAAGAAAAGAAAATCACTATCTTTTAATTTTCCCCTCCGGAAAAGCAGGCCGCAGTTGCAGCACACTAGAGACCTTTAAGCATAGCCGTTCCAAACGACAGATTTTATTCCTTTTTTGAGAACAAACCTCTCACTCACCTGTAGTTATGATTTTTGCTGTTTCATGTGATGCTGCCGCTTACCTAACCGCAACCTGAGAGTTATCCTGCAGATACAGTAACGCTGGGGAGCCAAAAATGCACCGTTATTTAATTTCTTCTTTTTTTTTTTTCACCCACAACAAAAATTTAATAAATTTATTGAAATTAGTTTTTTTTGCCTAGGCCTAGATTAAAGTATAGGTGGTTTTTGTTGCAGGTAGCATAACTGCATACGACATCATTATTTATTAGTCAGAGTGAGGAAAACTGCACCCCTAGTTTACATTTGGAAAAAAACGATCTTACTGTTGAGTTGTTGACGTATAACGCTGTTTTTCTCTGTCTCTCTTTTCTTGTACAGAATGATCTATGTTCTGGTGAGCTCCTAAAGAGGTCAGGAGGATCTGCCCCTACAGTAATGACCAGACACTATGATCCAAGTGCTGGAACACTGGACCTGCTGGAGACCACTGATGAGCAACACCAGTCATTTCAAGTGGACGAGACCCCCCCATCCCCCCACCACCATCACCCACTCACAGTGCAGAGAGTCATTGGGAAACTGTTAGCCTCTAAAAACTGTCGGCTGCAGCATTTCCTTTCAAATGCCACAAATCTGGAATCGCAGACAAGTTTCTCTTTCCCCTTTTTTGTTTTTGGTATATTTTTTTTTTAATGTTTGGTTTGGATAAAATTAGTTTTCCATTTGAGCTGGGAATCTATTCTGCTTGTTTGTTTTTTCATGTATAATTTTGAAGTTTAACAGCTGCTGTTCTCAGACCGCCTGGTTTATTATCTATAAGATCGTAGCTGAAGAAGTGATGAAATAACAGAAAAGATATCCAACAGTCTTGTTTTTTTTTTTTATTAAAACTTTAAATATTTCAACTCCGCCATGTTCTCCATGTCCGATGTTTAGTTTCATCCTTTGAATCCAGAAAGGTTAAACGAGTTGAAGTGGTTTCTGTTGTAAATTTCTCCTTGCTGCTCAGTTGAGCAAAAGGTGGATTTAACCGTGAAGTTCTTCTGCTCAGAGAGTCATAGCGCTTCAGTAGCTAGCAGCAGATGTGCCATACTGGTGACTGTATATTCTTTTTGTTTGAACATAAATAGTCCTCATTGTTAGCATCTCTGGTCTATTTATTGATCTCTGGATTTATTTTTTTCTACCCTTTGTGACGTCAAGCACTCCTGAAATGTGACTCATCTCCACCAAACATGATTTAGTCCAGTAAAGATCATTTAGCTCAACTTTTCACTGGTTTGGGAATAAGTTTTACAGGCATTTATATGCATCATACCTTTGTTTGATTTAAGAAAAAAATATTTGAATCTACAATAAACTCCTATTATCAAAATGTTTTTTTATTCTGCCATGTAGTCCTAGAATTTATCTACTCTTCAATCTATGATCTTTAAACACAAAAAGCAAATTTTAAAAGATTTACCAGCATTTTGAGGATTAAATAAAGATCCAATAACGGCAAATGTACTGAATATTTGAATGACATTTGCTAGTATAGATTAACTATTATTTAGTATCTAAAAAAACAATTTGACCTGAAAATAAATAGATTTAACAGTCCATATTTTTATTAAGACACTGAAGATTGAAAAAGAAAATTGTTACATTTAATCCAAAGGAATAACCAGATCTAAGCTTTTGGCTCATTTAAAAGCTCAAAAGAAGCAATATATTATTCTTTAACAGTTCACCTCTTAGAGGTGCAGAAAAGAAAGAGTTTCATTCAATAGTTTTTTCCTCTCTGAGTCAAAAACATTTTAGCCAGAATCACCGAGACAGCGATCGCCCATTGGGAGCCTCTCTGGTCTCATTATAGGCAGCATACTTCTCCCGAAACTCATGCAGAAAGTTGTACTGCTGCAAAAAAAACAAAAAGAAAACATTCAATCATAAGCAAACAGCTTAAGACAAATCCCCAAAATCCAGCCTCACCTTCACAGTTTGTATGGCACTTCCCCCTCTGTGCTCTCTGAGGAACTCGATGGCTTGGTTGGCAGTGAGTGTCGAGGAGAGCTGGAGCAGCAGGCAGGCGGCGACTGAGGAGACGAGTGCTGAGTTACAGAAAACGCCTAAAGCTAAATGAAAACATCGCCTCATAAAGGTTGGCGCTCCTTACTTAAAGCAGATCGTCCCAGGCCTCCATAGCAGCTGAAAGGGGAAAGAAAAAATAAAAATTAGACGCCAAACTTACAGGCAGAGGGTTCAGTGGTGACCATAACACAAAGATATCATCATCAGTAGACATTTTGAATCTACTTGAGGTGATAATCAACCTCTGATGGATCAAAGTGTTTGTTCATCGCCTCTGGAAAGCATGATCCTCTCATCAGCAGTTAAACCAAACAAGATAACCTTCAATAGTGATAAAGAATAAGAATTTTAAAAATAATTGAACTTTATTTACTCTCACACTGGAAATTCACCTCTGCAGTTACCCCATTCCCTTAAGGAGCAGTAGGCTGCCACTGTGCGGCGATGGGGGAGCAATTGGGGGTCTTTGCTCAGGGAGCCAGAGTGGCAGTCTGTGGGAATGAGTGGGACCCAAGTGCAATGCTCTAACCATCACCTCTCCTCATATTATATAATGAAACCTTTAAAGTTCTTTTTAAATAGGAAATAACTCATTATTCTACTGCATCTTCCGCAACTTCCCTGACACAGTTCCAAAAGCACCTTAAAACACACCTTTTCTCTCTTGCCTACCCTTCCTAACCCCCTCCCTGTCCCTACCCCC